ATGATATCAGAAAAAATGTTGATAAGAACCTGTGATACATATTATTCATCTCAAGAACATTTATATAGATAGACGTTCTCTAGATTGCTATGGCGTACAGTAAAAAAACAAACTGAATAGGTACAACATTCGGGAGTTATTTCAAAAGACAATGAAAGACATTTTTCAAACTAAATCTAACAATAATATTTAGAAAAAAATTTCATGCATATGAAAGATAGAGTGACTGCGAAAGAGGCATGATAGCAAGGGAGTGATCATTTTGAGCTCTGTTGACTTTATAAATGACATTTGAAGAAGCATTATACCTAAATGAATCTGCTTTAATTTTTTCAATATTGCTAAAGACTTATAGACGCTTTTTAACTACGTCTTTCAGCATATTCATGACAAATATAACCACGTTAGTATATTCTCATGCTTATATTTATATATCTAAACTGTTTCACCTGTGTCTTCATGTCTACTGTTACCGGTAGACATCTTGACTTATACTCTTCAAACCCATATCCTTATCAATGTATACTTAAGTGTAGATTCCTATATATGTACCCATACTCGGTGTATTGTTATGACTATACCCGTGCAAGTGTACACTCAACTTAACTTTCATGATTCATAAGATTAACCTATAAGAACAGAGTTCAATTATGTATTGCAGAAGTGAGAAAAGTAGGATGAAAAATAGTGATAATTCCAATGGTTCTCGATCCACAACGCCTTTAAAATATGATGATTGTCAGTCACATTGTCGCTTAACCGTTGCAGCGGTCAGTGATAATGATGAATGAATAAAATTTGTGTTTTTTGGGTAGAGTTTTCAAGACTTTTATCCTATTTGTAAACAAACACCGCATACACACACATAGATAAAATACCATGTTAAACATTCTTAAAGCCCAAAGATGAACTCATCCGCCTGTTTTTTTTTCAATAGTTAATCAAACTCATATCAGATTCTTTGAATCATTACAAACAGTCTCGAAAGAAATAATAAAAGAAGATACATTTTCTTTTCGGCAGCTCAATGAATAAGACAAATTTGTTTTCTCGTAATCATTTGCAAGTAGGGGCCCGAAAGCGAACCATGAGTTACCACACGAGACACGAAACGAGAGCATCATATTGATACGATTAGCATGAGCGAGTGCAATGGCATTCATCAAATACTGATCTTTTGCAATGAAGAAGTTTCTTGAAATGTAATGATTGATCGTCTCATAAAAAACCGATGTCCACCAGTGAATTGTTCGTACTGAACCGCCGATGATCCCACCTTCAACAAGATTTATTTTGATCGGCCCTTCATCTGTTTTATACTTTAATGGGCAGAATCTTCGAGGAAGTGGAGCAATCATACCAAGAAGAAGTCTATCGTTGAAAAATATGTTTCGAATGATTTCATCATAAGGCCATAATCGAAATTGATAATTAGATGATCGAAAGGCTCCTGCATCAATATAGAGAAAATAATTAGTGTTAAATGGATTCAGCTCAGCACTCCGATTTATCATGAACGATTTAGCACACCAAGTAGCATAGAGCTCGACTGAATGATATCCATGTTCTGGATCAATTTTATGTTGTTGTTCGAAAATGGATACAAGAGATTGAATAGGAGGCATTTCTAATGGTGTTGAATAGTTAACAATAAAATATGATGCCAACGATCCGTTTCGGCGAAGTCGGTAGAGAACTGATTGATATTCGATAGATGTAAATATGATCATGGGTGACTGGCAATATCTAAGTAGATTCTCAAGCCACAATAGATACTGAGCCTTAGTATGTTTTGATTTGTTCAGAGGGAAATAGGCTATGATGATGGTCGTCAGAGCATTGTGACTGTATTTCATCAATGAATGTTTTGCACGTACAGTTGCTGGAGATAAAAGAACAATATGCTGAGTTTCTTTTGTCCATGAAAATATGATGACTGCAACGGTGATCAATAGACAAATAGAAGTATATTTGCATGAGTTCTTCTGAAGCATCGTCTAAAATGAAAAGAATACAGTTATTTTGTTGGAATACTTCAGGATAACATAATATGATGATCAAATGAATCATTTTGTGTTGTTCAAAAAGGAATACCAATATGGAAAGTATGCAGCTCGCGCACAATTGACATCGATTGGGCTAAAATCAGGTTTCGAGTCAGTCAATATTTCACCTGCTCTGTTGTTTAGAAAAGCTCCCCACCATCCAAAAGTTCCTACAGTAATAATTACATGATCACATATAGTAAGAACAGCTAAGTCATGGGCAGCATCAAATTCATTTGGAGTGAAAACAACATCGTTTCGCTTACTAAACAGTGTTTGACAATATGATTTGTCATCCGTTACAATAATAAAACAAACTAAACGATATTTTTCTATGAAATGAGCCATTGCTTTGAGTATGTATTTGTCAGATGAAGTACGTCGAACTAGTAAAAAGTCTCGTCGTCGTATGTGTATTCCTACAGAAGTTGTAGTACTTCTATTGATTACTTTATCAAAAAAAGTATTAGTGTTATTTAAAATTGTGCGTTTGAATTGTAAATGACGTCTTATTTGATTTGTATGTTTGATGAAGTACTGATGCACTTGCCAATATCCAGTTAATTCAATAAACTGAGATGTATTAGAGTGGAATAGTTGAGGAATGAAAGAGCAGTGATTATAGATTTTCTTCACCGACGTTGAATGATTTAGTGGAAGTTCTGTCGTAAGATTCGATAGATTTAGTTCAAATGATTGACGGAGCTCTTGTATCACATTTTTATCTATATACAATTGACACGAGTAATCAAGCGATAAGCCAAGGGCTGTAGCGAACATGAATAAGCGATTGCCAAGTCGACCATTTCGTTCATTTAGAATGACAATGCACTGATTTGAGTTTTTCATCAAAATCTTACTCGTCCACGAAAACAAAGTGGATGCTGCTATTGAATCCAGAATGAAAGAGTAAAGGCATACAAAGATAATAACAAATGTCAGTGCTAGCTTGCAAGGTTTTATTTTGTAATCGCTGAATACGAACAAGGAGCTAAAGAAATTCATCTAAACAAAAATAAAGAAATCAGTAAGATGAAATAAAAGCTATTATTATAAAATGTGGAGATTCTGCAGAATCCATGCTGAACAGAACTCAGAATTAAAAGATATTATCTACCAACTTGAAATCTTTGCCATCGAACAGAAATTTCATGCATTTTTACTACATATGTGAAGCTATTGGTATATTTTAATTTCCAAGAGAGTGTTGGGCAGTTATCATGAACTGTAATTCAGCCAAAAAAATCTATTGATAAGGTTAGATCTCCTGCGGAATTTTGCTGCACTTCAATTCTATAGAATATAGCTCATTCAAAAAATAATGAAACTCATATCAAAAGGATAATTAGTTTTCCGTGACATGCTGCTTTGTTATGAAAATTTAGATGAATTTTAAAGTTCATGGCGCTATGGAGATATTGTTTCGATGCTTTTGTGTGGAAAGGTGATCCAGTGTGCATGGAAGCATTTATTTACTTGAAATCTAACTAATTTTGACAGCAAGTTTTTTTCTACAAAGCTGCAATAGTCTAGAAAAATTCAGACGTCTTCGAAGATATTAAAAAATCAAAACCATTTGGAAATGAAAACAAAAAATTCCGTTTTTGTTCGTAAAGAAACTATCATTGTTTAGACTATGAACACTGCTGATGTAGTCACGAATTTGTCAAGAAACATAGTTTTCTCGTCATTTTGACGCTCCTGAGAATGTTAGCTTTTGTCTTCTCATTGAACAAGTATAGTACAAAAAAAAAATAACAACATAGTCAATATCTTGTCTGTACTTGTTTCCCAATTATATGGTCGTAACTTAGTCAGCTTTTAGCATCTTGGGCTGCATTCTTCAGCTAAAAAGAGTCTTGAAAATTATCCTTCTTCACTACGAAAGTGCTAAAAAAAACCTTTGATCAATGCAAATTCTGCTATGTTTTCGAAATTCTGCTAGCGATCCATGTGGTTTCGATAAGAAAAGTTGGATGTCTCTCTGATGAACTTAGTGGAGAGATGCTATTTAAACCTATACTGCATGTTGGTTGATAGGAAACCGTGAAATATATTGTTTATCTCAACGAACTTTATATAGATAGATATGCCATGGATTGACATAGTGTACACCAAATAGCTGAATTCGATCAATATTCGCAATTGCGTATTATTGATAAAACAGCGGACGAACTGTTAGAAAAATTTGACAATAGTACCATAGGAAAGTATCATTCCTATGAAAGATCGCCTGACTGAGGAACATGCATGACAGCGAGGGGTCATTTTGAACTTTGTGGACTTTGTATGTCTTCTGGCAAGAAGCATTATATCAATTCGAGTCTATTTTAACTTTGACTGCGTTTGCATAAGATCTGTAGCCGGTGAAAGTTTTAGAATTTCTTTGAGAGTTCGTCTTCAGATACTTTGAAAGAAGAGAGAATATCTTCAAATTTCAGTTTCTCAGATTTTTGTAAGGAATATATAACATCTAACAGTGATTCAGTATTCTTAGTGCTGTCTCATAAGTAATTGAGAAAAAAATGGATAGTAAAGTAGCGAAGAAAACAAGTGAAAAATGAGGTAGCTTATTCTCTCTGAAAATTCAACAATGCCTGTTTTTTGTTAACTCTCATCTGACTAACGTAAGTGTTTGCGTCGTCTACCAGTTTGCAGATCTAGATTTGTCAGCACACTCTTTCAAATATACTTGGATAGGATAGAATTTGAGATCAAGCTAGAGTAGACGATTCTGTAGAAGAGTGCTCGATGAGTTCATAGATTTTCGAATAGAATAATAGTAAGAAGCAATATATTCGATATAGGGTAGATATCTTTAAGTGAGAAAGATGTGTGAAAACAACGATTTTCGATATTTTCCGAAAGAGTTATAGGTGATGTGGTAAATATTTGTGGAGTGTTGCAATACTAATGATTTGCACAAAACTTCTCTTTTCTAACACAGATATATTATTATACTCTCATTTTTTCTATTGCGTCCTTGACTCTTTTAGCGAATCTGTCTCGAACGCTCTTGTCTGTCACATATTGACCAGTACCACAACCTGGCATGCTTCGGAGTCGATTCATCGATGCATAATGAGCCAAAAGTATGTGATTTTGTGAGGGCTCTTCCTTTGAAAGACCGACGATTTGGTGATGAATAGATAAATACTGAACAAAACGTGGTCGATAAAGGTATTTTTCGCGTCCTTTTTTATAACGATCACGTGTGCGAAGAATAAATCGATCGATAACTAAACGATTTGTGTCATTCTCTTCGAGTGTGTACCTATCAGCTTCTTTTGTGCAGAAGAATTGACTCCATAAATTGATCGATCCGATGATACGTCGACGAAAGTTGTCATGCAAATAGTCAAGCACAGTTTGATATGGATCAAGCGGCACAATGTATTCATCGAGATCAAACATACCTAACCATTCTGATTGATCACCATAACGAATCAGACAATCATGCAAAGCTTCAGTCTGAAAGTATCGTGTCGACAAAATGTCGGTCAGACCAAGAGATGAGAAATTCCATTGAACAACATCAACTAGCTTCGAATATTTTCGATTGATAGTATTGACAACAGATGACAAACGTTGATGGTTATCAGTTGTATTGTAAACAACGAACTTTCGAAAACCGACCAGTCGATGGAATTCTATCCATTGAGTTAAATATTCAGCTCCATTGTGTAGTGGTGAAGTACATAATGTTAACAATTCCTGACTAGAATTTGATGGGATTAAAGAAAGCATTGGAACAGTGATAAATGCTTTCAGAATGGGTACATTTCGATCTTTGTCTGTTGTCGAAGCAAGATACACTCTTAGTGTTCGATTGTATCGCCATAATTGGTCACTAGCAAAGGGACTGAGTGAACAATCAAGGAGAGATACACGATCGTTACCATAGTTTGAATCGTAACTGTATGCGGATGTCACCGATCCATCATCAAAAACACACCACAAGCTCAACAGACGAGAAGAGAGTGGCTGTGCTGAAACTCCTTTTGGTAAGACACGTTTCACATCGGTAGGATAGACCATTATAAAAGTCACACTTACGCCATAGCGCACACGACTTGCGCCAGCACTTAGTACAAGTAAATGCCCATCAGCTGATAAACATGGCACCGTAGGTACGTTATCCCCAGCAGTTTCAGGCCAGGCAGCAATGACAGTAGCCATGTCTCGAAGACGAACTTGCTCATCATATGTATGTCCAACCAATTTCCAACCATAACCCTGAGTAGATGTACCTGTCTCCTGAGCGGTATATGAAGATATTCTCTGTGCTTGGTCGTTCAAAATACTTCTTATTATGGTAAAGCGTGCGTTTCTATAAAAAAACAGTAAGAGGAGTATACATAATACGAGCGCTGGTGTTGTTATATGAAACATAGCCAATATTTTTGTCCTAGCCATAAAGATAATCTGGAGAAAGATATGAAGAATGTACTTTCAAAAATAATTAACAATGATTACGCCAGATATGATCATAGATATTTTTGTGCCGACTTGTAAAATACGAGAATACCTATGAACCTTTAGAAAGGAGAACTAACACAGATCTAGTAATATAAACAGGTAGAGCTCATTGAGGATGTAGGTGTAGATGTAGGTTTGTTGCTATTTATTTCACATGTACACACTCATACTCAATTTCCACTTCTATATCAACACACCACCATCTAGACCCACACCCGAGCTAAGCATCCACTTAAACTCCCAGACGAAAATCTTTCTCCTTCCCTCCTTTAATCTGTATTGCAGATCTTACCTTTCTAATCAATGTTCATTCAATAGAATATCATAAATACTTGATTTCAGTGTAGCAGAGATTAATTAGAATTTGCTTTGATGGATAATGCACATATTTCAACACCGACGAGTGAAGATCCACAAATGCGAGTCTCAGTTTTGGATGGAATACATACTAGATTGTAGAGCTCGACGAGTTGATTCTCGTGGTATTTTCCATTTCTGTCCATAGAGCTTCAAATGAGAAGAACGAATCGATTGTACTAATGAATTTCTTCACTTTGGGTAAGTCTTGAGACAATTATTAGTAATTTGGGACTTATGGGGTTTTTTAAAGTTTGAATGATCATGTGAAAACATAGACAATAGCATATGAGACATTCTATTATTAATTAGTTTAAAAGAATAGAAGAAAAGTACTTCCTTGTAAAACGCAATTCCATCATTGTTATAAATATTGATGATTGAATTATTACATTTGGAGGAACTTTAGCAGTTCTGAAAAAAATACTTTCTTATGTATCCATAAAGTGAGCTTGAGTTGCGTTGAAAATAATATAATAATAGATTCACATGTAGCATGTAGCATCGCCTATGTGTCAACGTGGTCATTTAAACTTTAAGCATTCTTTAAGTTCCGAATTACTGATAATTGTCTCGAGACTTACTCAAACTGAAGAAACTCATTAGTAAAATCAATCCATTTTTCTCATTTGAAGCTCTATGAGCAAAAACAGAACATACTACGAGAATCAAGTCGTCGAACTTTACAAACTGGTATATATTTCATTCAAAAATGAGACTCACACTTGGGGGACTTCCCCCGGAAGTGAGCCACTTCGCAAATTTCTTCACGATTTCATTAGGTATATTTCGTAGCTGACAATGGTTGAACTATTTTCATTTTATTTAGATCTATATCGTCGACTGTACATGATCGGTTTGTCGTTGAATTGGTAGCAAAAAGGGCTTAGTAGATGAAAACGCTGTAAAACAATTAGTAGATCGTAACAGAAATAACTCAGTTAAAGAGAAATCTTCAAAGTTACTCATTGGTGGTAATGATCAACGATATCGAAATATGTGCAGTCTTCTTCGAGGCACATCGTGGACAGTCATAAAGAAAGCTGTTACCGCAAACTATTACAAAATTAATGTATGAAAACTGTATAGATACCTGTGCTTTTACATAGAAAAATAATTTCATTAGATAACTTCTATTAATGTTATATGTGTATGCTATAGATTATATTCTTCAAGTATTATACTCTCGGTCTTTGATAGAAACAAATTTCTATATTGAACTCGAGTGAGTTCAATATGTAAACTCCAGTTGGCTTGCATTTCTTGGCTGTATCTTTAACAATATGTTAGGAATGAAATTTCTTCCTTTATAGTTTAACATTAGTTTTAGATTAGACCTCACAAAAGAGAAAAGAGAAGAGATCTTTGATCAGAGGTAGGACTAACTACCTACCTGCTCTACCTGCTGTAGTTGAAAAGGATGAAATGAAAAAAAAACTTATGGCATCCAGTATATAAATATTTGACATTGTCAAGTGTACATGTTAAACCTACCTTGTTGTTCTCAGACGTGACTTTTCTCCTTTCTTTTGCTCTCTATTATGACGAACATTAATAAAAGAGAAAACTTAGTCAAGTATGAGAATAGTTATGTGTATGAAAAAAGCTTCGATATAGTTGGCAGTACAGAAGGGAAATAAATTGGAGGAGGACTAAAATATAGAGAATGCAGACAAAAAGTTAGAAAACATAAGGTGAGAAAGGTAATTCACGCGAATCAGTTTCGAGTATGATTGATAGCTGAACTTTTTGCGATTTTTTTCTCACAGTTTTCATTACTCACATAAATTTACGATATTCACAAAATCAGACTGCAAAACAAAAGCTGGTAGTTTGCTACTTTTTCATGTCATTTCTCCTGAGAGAAATATGAAAACAAGTGATTGACATTGTAAAGAATTCGTACGCAGAGAACAGGAAATCGCTCATTTTACTTTTTATTCTCATTCAAATGTTTTTTCAAAAATAGTTAAACTCCTCAAGACAAAATAATCGATTTATATAGTTCTGCTGAACTAAAACTATCGTATCTTGCAGATTTAAATACAAATTATTTTGTTATTACTTTTTAATAGAAATTAATAATTATGAACTGTGAGATATTTAGTTCAAACGAATAACTAACTAATATGTTCAACAAAATCAACTTGAATGTACAATTCGAATCGGGATTTTATTTCTCTTTTATCTTCACAGTTGGATCTTTTCAAAATGAGTACTGATTCGACACTTGATACTCGTTTAAAATAAAAAAAAGGTATGTTTTCATATAGCATACTTTCAAATGTACAATCGATCGATTTTTCTATGGTGGACGTCAGTTTTCTTATTTCAAGCTTAGGCATAAATGTCAGCCGAAGTCAAAATTAAACTTTCCGTTATTTTAAATACTTAGTAGTCCTTTTGACATTATCAATGTTCCAGTTTAAATTGTTCAATTGCACATCACATACATATTCATGTGATCATCAAAGTCCGAACGAAAAAGAAGCGAGAAGGGATATGAACTGCCTAACTCGAATTATAATATAAATGAGCTCTGAACAGTGTGAGATAAATTCGAAAATACATGAAAAAAAGCTTGCCAACACTTGTCTCTAGCAGAACTACAAGATTCTATTTGAGCTATAAATTATAAATGAAATAGGGCTATCATATAATTACGCCAAAAAGAAAGAAAACAAATTATTGGAATAGTAAACGATAAATCAGATAGAGCTGTTATATAACGACGGCAGAAAGGCAAAAAGAAATACTTGCATTAGAAATTATTAATAAGATAAAGCTGACATGTAACAGCGCCAGAGAGGCAAAGAAAAAATTATTCAAATTATAGCTTATAAATGAGATAGCGCTGCTCTATAGCAACGGTAGAAAAGCAGAAATTAAATCCCTTACTTTTATTTTTGATACAGTAACTAATGACAGTGCCATAATTCACATCCTTCTGGATTTTTATTTTTTCCATAACTGCAAAATTGTTCGCTTCAATATTTATTGAGAAAAAGCACTTTTCATCGTCGACCTAACTTTTCATTTCAGCGTCGCGGTGTAGAGACGCGAATCGCCCTTCGAAGATCTCGACCTATATGCGTCTCTGTACACACTAATCGCTATGACATATCACTATCAGGCGCTTCCTGCGACACCCTAGGTAATAGCTGCAGCGTCCTAGAAAAGCCTTGTTGTATCTCAGATGATGCGTATAGAATGCCAAGTAATACTCGTAGCTTCGCAGCTAACGACTAAAGTATAACAGACAATGCTTATAGCATCACAAGTAAGTGTGACGCTTTATCTTTAGTCTACTCAAAAGTAAAGTAAGTAAAGCAATGTAAAGTAAACTGCGTTACAAATAGGGGTGGCCCTTTAACTTAAGAGTTAAAGTTAACGGGTGTGCGCGTGAATGTGAGTATCAGTGCATCGCCGAGAAGAGCCATATACACACTCACACCCACACCCTATCCGACTGGAATGCTTACATTAATTTAGTTTAGATTGGAATGTCGATCATAGTACGCAGCATATATCCGTAGTTTGGGTCTGTATAATATTACAGCTTACTGGATAGTTTTTTTTTCAAAAGAAATCAACAGCAAAGCATTTCATTGCGTCGAAAACACATACAAGGCATATTACCATGATAATTGCAAGAGAGAAAAGAAATGATTTTGCAAGAAAAAGCAATTTTATTTGTTTTGATCGGAGCTATAAAACATTACTGTTTTTATTGGATTCATTTTGCTGGATTGCAATTTTTGGGTGTGGGTGTGGGTGTATCTGGGTGTGGATGTGAATGTGGTTGTGGACGTAGATGAAAAAGGACCAAAAGTGAACTCCATCCATACCCACATCCTTATCATCCACAATCACACTGACTCGCACCCATCCAACGCTCAGATGCACATATACATCCATAGCCTCGTTTCATAAACTCTTCGGCTCCTAAGCCTCGTAAGGGCTTATAAAAAGTTGCACATAAGGATGAGTTTTATTTTCTACTCTTGTTTATACAGTGTATTCTGAGAATACTTTTGCTCAGAAGTAAAAATGAAGCAGGAATACGAATTTCAGGTGTGGGTGTGGGTGTGGGTGGAAATGAATATATCACTCGCATCCACAACCACATGTCACACGCACATACACACTCAAACTCGATCCACAGTCACACACCACACATACACCATTTCTTTCAGGATCAAACTGAGAAGAAGTTACAGTCAAAAACTAACCATCTCAAAAAAGCTTCGGCAACTTCATCATCGAACAACATCATTTTCTTTTTTCTTTTAGTTTTTTACATTAGAAGAGAAATGAGAAAGCAAGCTTAATAATGATTTTTG